CTTATAGCAGTAACATGCGGGAGACGATAATTGGGAGAGGGGGCACATATTCATATATTCATGTTGTGCAAGATTAATTTCTTTTCAAATCCATTGTCTTTACAGCTCTGTTAACATGAATATTAACATGAATATATGAATATGTGGCTAATATATGTTAATATGTATCACTTTTAACTGGCAATTCCGGGATAACCAAATCCGAACTAAAGAAGCCTACACCTATACCAGGTTGATTCCGGGTCTAAATCCGAACTAAAAAGGCCTCTTCTACCTAGTCAATCCCAAAGTGTCGATTTTCGAACTAAAAAATCTTCATTTCAATCTGGTCAATTTCGAAATGTCTAAATCTGAGTACTGCGGTAGAATTGATGATTTTACCAAAATAAACAAAATTGCGGAAAGTTATTTGGACAGAAACTAAGCAGCCCCGCAAAAACTAAAAATGGGAGGATAGGTAAATGGAAATATTTAATAAAAGTCCGACTGTGTTTTGTCAAAAGAACTGTCAGATTTCGTCTCTGGAATAGCATGGTATAACCTCACCAGATGCATCTTAATTAGACGTTCTCAGAAACTAAAAAACTTATCTTATATTTCCAGTTGTTTTTGGCCTATGTCTTGTCAGCATACAACATCGCTGCTGTAATTGGTGGAGTGTTATTCGGTCGCCTTGTTGACCGATTTCGACACCCGAGACGTCTCTTTATATTCGCGTGTTGCCTTAGAGTCCTCGCTTACGTTCTCTACAGCATCAATATTTCAGGATTCTTCCCTTTGTTTGGCCGGCTGATGAGCGGGCTAAGCGCTGGTGGTACCACAGCAATATTACAAGGCCAGGTTGCTCTGCAAAGCAAAACTGAAAATCGGGCCTCGACTTTTGTTTTAATGGAGGTTATCTTCTGCCTTGGAGCAACGTTTGGGCCTGCCATTGGGAGCTTCGTTGCATTTGATGTCACCATTTGGGGATGGCATATCAACCAAGGAAACTCTCCCGGGATAGTACTCACCTTGATTTGGAGCCTATTTTTGATCCTGGCTTTGATATTGCCAAAGCACATGTGGGTGGAGACTGGGACAGGGTATTCGAAAGGTAACCGAACATTGGCCGAAGATGATACAAAAAGTGTCCGAGATTCGGTCAATTTGCATCCGAGAGGTGACCAAGGTTCAAGCGAGAATGAGAAAAATATTGAAAAAACGAAAGGCCACCGAACTCTGGCCGACAGCGATCACAAAGGTCTACCGAAGATCGAGTGGAACTCGCAAATTTTATGCCTACTTTTTCTGGTATTTTCGAACGAATCTCTGTCGAGTACGGCGACATTTTATGTCCCAGTTCTTGCCTTGAATCATTTCCATCTTCAATTAATCCACGTTAAATTGCTCTTCCTCAATTGTACGGCTTTCACTCTTCTTGTTTTTATTCTCTTCTCGATGGCTTCCACACGTCTGGAAGAAAGGAAACTTTTTGTGGTTGCCTTGGCAATGCAGTTAACCGCATTAGCCTTGTTAACATCGCTTGGTTTTGCCTGGAAACATGTCAGTTTTGCTCAAAACTACATTCTCCTGTTGTACATATGTCTTGGTATGCTGTATTTCGCTTATCCTTTCAGCAACGCCATTCTTTCGAAGATCACTAATCCGCAAAACGCATCTTTATACCAAGGGGTATCGTATGCCGCGATGCAATTAGAAGTTGTGGGTAGTCGGGTGATAATAAGCTTTATTCATACACAACAAGGTGTACTAAACTATTGTCTGGCTTCAGTTCTTCTTTGGTTGGTTGGCTCCATGTGGTTTGCTGTACATTACAAGCAATTTGCTGTAAACGTTTCTCATAAATAGATTTCAGTTAGCGGAACAGGAATTTCTTTGACTTGATCACTTGCAAGTTATATTTTTTATTTCAAAATTCGTCTAAGGCGCTGTTAAACTATGCAATATTCCTTGAAACATGCTATGCAATTATAATTTTGAGCCATGTTAATTTGTAAAGAGTGCTCGAAATGGTGAGAAAACGTTACCTGATCGTAAGAAATGTTCGTATTTGACAACTTTAGACACCTCTGGAGTAGAATTGCATTGCAAGTTGCAAGGAAAGTCTTTAATCTCGGCTAAGCGGGATCATGCAAACAGATCCTAACTGCTGTAATGTACAGTCAATTAAAGTAATATTTTAAATTTTGGAAAATGAATAAACTGATTGACTGCATCTCGTAACATTTCAGAGGGTCTTGTTCCAGAAAGCCGCTTCACGAGAGACAAATTCTTTAAAAACTTCCAATGTTTGGAGTAAAACAGACTCATTCTTTTAATTATTAGTTCGCGGGTGATAACTCGTGTTGTTATATTTGCGAAACTAGATTATTATCGTTTCCCGAGCATTGTTTTCATTTGATGCTATTGCAAGGTTTAAAAATTTACAAGCTAACTAACCTAATTGTAATACTGTAATCTGAACTAGATAATTTACATGTATGTAACTCACTTTTTCAATTTGGATTTATTCCTTATGTGAGAGATAAAATAATGAAATTTAATTAATACACTTGAATTGATTTGAATATATTTGAATTGATTTGAATTCTACACTGTGGAGCGTTTTAAGGGGAAAATATGTTTTCCTGAAATTAATTCTTAATTCCCATGTAGCCACCTTCAGGGTATGTGAACGCTATTAACTGAATATCTGCCCTGGGGCCGGTTGTTCAACCGTGAGTTAAAGCAAATCTTAACATGTGTCATAAAAGTTGCGAAAAAAGTAAAATAGTTGTTATTGCCAAGTAGAATGTTATGTTATGTTTGTTAGGTAAACTAAACTCTCGATTATGTCGGAACGGACGACGGACCTAAAGAGAGAACGCGGAAATGATCCCTTGTGGGCGAAAGAGAACGGAAACTCGAAATTGTATGTGCCAAAAGGGAGTCACCAGTTATCATGAATAGCTAGAGAGCTAATTTGTTGGAGCGAGAGATTGTGAGTAGATTGTCAATAGATAATTGATGGTAAAATAAACGAAAATACGAAAGATACAGTCCCTTGAGTTAAGAACCAGTACGTGTGAGCTTCCCTGAACGCGATTGTGGGCAAAGTTTGCGAAAACATGAATTTTTTAACCGCTTGTTTACAAACTTGATAATCTTTTTTATAAATGATTTCTGGACCGATAGATGTCATATTTTCTAAAGTTTTAAAGCGGACAGTGGTTCAGAAACTTATAAACTAAAACACTGGATTAAAATTCAACCCATGCAGGGTTAGCGCTAACCTAGCTTCAAACAACTGGCCCCTGACGGCGCCGCTGACTAACATCTACAACAATTGTTGGGGATAAGTTCTAAAAACTAAATAAGTAAAACTAGTGTTGTGGTGTTGTATTTCTGATGATTGAGACAGTTTGCGTAATATCTATGAAAAATTGGGGGGGGAAATATCGTATTCCCATAATACAAATTCGATGCTATTTGCTTCTCTTTCGCTTTTAATGTGCTCGTGGATACTAATGCGTGTTGTGTGGTCACGCCAATATGGCCGCCTAAAGTCCTTCAAAACGTTATTAAGCACGAGATTAAAACGTTTTGGAGAGACGTGAAAAGCTTTATCTCTTCAGTGAGCTAAGCAAAGGTATCGGCTTTGATAGCAGAGCCTTTTGTACGTAATTTCTCTACCTAAATATCTGGTTTGAAAGATTTAACGGCATTGAAAATGTTAGCTCATTATAAATATTCTCACTTTAGGATTAGCTCACTAAATTCCAAACGATCAGCAATTCAGTAATTTCCCGATCAGTGCGCGAATCATTGCAAATTCGGTCTTTTTAGACCAATCAGCAAAATTGTTCACATTTTTAGTAACCCAATCAGCATGTATGAATTTTAATTACTTCCGGTAACAGGTGCATTATTGACCATTTTACATCAAGCATTAAAAATATAGCAATTCCGATTGGCTTTGCCACAAAAATGTAAACAAATTTACCGATTAGTTTAAAACGAAATTCCTTCAAAATTCGAAATTCTTTTTTTTTTGCTTCGAAGTTGGCGACTTATCGCTCCAGTTCATATATAGATCACTGATTCTTGGCCTGTAATTTGTTGACGACTGAAGACAACAAAGAAAGTGACTTCGTTAACGATTTCGTGAACAGTTCCACTTCAGCCAGCGTTTTCTGGACAGATTTGTCCAACTTTTGGCGGCTTTCCTTATTTTCTGGGACGTTAGCTTCGGTCATTTTGAAAAGGTATTCCCAATCCCCCTTGGTCATCTCCTTGACTTCCACCCCAATTAGCATCAACGCCGTCACCCCTGCCACAGCCCGCTGTCTCAATATCTCATCTTCTCCTGTTTCTTGTACGAGGTTCAATCGACACATGTGGGTTACTTTAACACACAAATCTACAGAGTGTGAACATGAATGTATCAATTTACCCCCTAAATTAAATATCAAGCGACGGGACTGGCACCATAACAATTGTTGCCGTTTACCAAACGTTTCAGAAGTACAAATTGTCTAGCTTGAAAACGCGACAAACATATTATTTGAAGACTTAGTCGTCTAAATTTGTGCGTCTGTTCACCCGTCTATTTAGACGATGTTTGCAGACGATTTGTTTGGCTAAACGAACAAAATCGTCTGATTCAACTATTATAGAGGTTTCCGAAGCATGGCGGCCATCTTTGTGGTCAACACAACACAGACCGGACGCGATTTGGCAACGTGGCGCGATTTTTCAAAGTTTTTCATTTTCCAAAGTCAAATAAATTTTAAACTATCATAACATTCTTGTAGATTACTTAACGATAATACATTTTGACTGCTCTGGCGTCCATAGATTCCAAATTTTGCTTCCAGAAATTAACTTAATGTGCCTGTGAAAACTGAAAATTCGCGTGGCTTTGCCTCATTGCGTCCGGTCTGTGTCGACCTTAAGTCCCACAAACACTGGACGCGATTCGCTAACGCGACGAGAATTTTTCCGCATTTTTTGAAGTAAATTAATTCAATTTGGAAAGAACATTTTGAGAGATATGGGTGCCAGACCAGCCAAAATGTGCCATCAATCTGTAATTACTATGAATATCACAACATTGTAAAAGTTGACGGATTTGCAAAATTGAAAAACTCGTAAAAATCGCGTGGCGTTGGCGGATCGTGTCCAGTGTGTGCGTTACACGATTTGTTGGTCTAGTTGGCTTGTTCAACTTCTAATGTGAAAACGGCTAATATTAGGGATCTTAAGCATGTAGAACGGGAACACGACGACGGCGGTTATCAATAGATCACTGAACTGAAAGAAATCAATAATTAATGGACGACTTGCGCTTTAGACTAATTTCTTACCACGGCGATAAAAAGAACATTTTCTGAAAGAGCTTACTAAAATTAGTAAAACGGCCAAGTTTGGCTGCGAATTGTTGAAAATTACGGAAATTATGGCCATGCGAAGTTTTAAACGTGGTGATAATATACAACAACTCTTTACCATCGCATAAACTTAAAGGAGTGCTTCGCGTTTCCGTCCTTATAACTTTATATACAACAACAAACCTATATTCCTGCGACGCAGATTTCGACTGTAGATTTTCACAAGCTTTTCACAACAGCTTTGATTCGCTCTAGTATTTTCTGTTCCTTCAAGACTGGTAGATCTGTTGCAAGGTTGCAACGTGAGGTACATGGTGATCCTCCCACCTTCATTTTCTCTCACTATTTCTTTCAAATCTCCTTCTTCTATGTCGTATTTAAAGAAATCTTCGGCATGCATTTTTTGTGGTCTGCAATTGGTATACCTCGCTTCATACAGAGTATTTTTTTCCCTATCCTCGAACTTAACAACCGCCACAACGTCCTTGGGTTGGACATGCCAATTACTTTGCTTTTTAGACATCTTAGCTCTCTCAGCGATAATGCAACTATCTTCATCCAGACAATGATGCTCAGTTGTTCCCCGGACGGTGTAGTGCCACTCATGGACATGGTAAAATGCTGCGCAAAATTGTGCTTTCGATCCGATGATTTCTTCTTCTTTCTCGCGTCGTTTAATGGGTTTAATTGATTTTGGATATATCGGACTACATATTTGGTTGCCTTCTACTCCAGCCATGCTAATGCTCCACCAGAAATTTTCTTTGTTAACAAATTAATAAATGTATTATTAGTATGATAAAATTTATTCACGCTCCTTTACCGAGAGGAGCACACTACAATTTCAAAAGAAATGCGATTTCATCACGCCATTTTGTGCTGTTTCTATTCACAGTATCATGAAAAATTTGTTTATCGTATTTCTTGTCATTGATATATTTTAACAATCAAAAACATTCAACTTTAAAGCTCTGAGCATGCGAAGAATGCATGGAAGCTTTATAGCCTCAGACGACGTGTAAATTTGAAAATTTCGCTTTGCAATTGAAAATAACTACAGCAATATAAAAGAAGTCATATGCAAAGTCATATTATGCACTCGGGAAGGATTGCAAACTCACTTGTTCGCCACACTCATACTTTGCTATAAGTATTTAATGGATTTCCCGCCCAAGCAAATGCATCAACCTGCGTCCAAGATTATAGCTATACGCATGCAAATACGTTTGTCCTTGAAAACTACAGGCCTTCACATGCACTATTAACTTTTCGGAGATGTATACAGTTTCGAAGATGTATATATATATATATATATATATATATATATATATATATATATATATATATATATATATATATATAATATATATATATATATATATACATCTCCGAAAAGCAACTTTTGACTATCAGCACTGATATAGATCATATATAGAGTTAATAGTGCATGTAAAGGCTTGTAAGTTTTTAAAGACAAACGTATTTGCATGCGTAGCTATAATCTTGGACAAAGATTGATGCATTTGCTTGACCGGGAAATCCATTAAATGGCAAAGTCCGCTTATATAATATGAACTATAGCATGCATGTTTTTAAAACATAAATTTCCTATATCATTGAGCAAATTGCTGTCACTTTGCAATTGATCTCCGATGCTGATAAGGGTAACCCGTTATGAACCATAAAATGTAGCGTAGTATACTTACAGATTTTACGCGAACTGTATCGAGCAATGTAGAATTGTAGATCCAACTTCAGTTTCTCTGAATAAGCAGATAGAATTGTTGTTTATGTCAAAGCTAATGCCCGTTGAGAAACTGATTATACAAAATAAGATATGTTAAAATCTAAACACGAATCTAAATATATGAAATGAAATATTTTAGCTCACTGCTTGATGTCCTAACTTTCCATGGCATTCCAGGGATCAAACTGCGAGCAATGCCAATGTCAACCAAATTGTGATATCGATATATGACTTTAAAACGTTTCTCTACAAGACGTTTTCGATCCTCTTTTGTATATGTCATTTATTTCAACAGGCCTGCAACGATGTTCGATATTGATAATTCATTTTGTTTGTAAAATTTCCGGTTATTCGCTGTGTAATCGTTTACCCATGAAGTCCATGAACCGCAGTAGGGGGGATTCTAGAATATACGTCTCTATAAAATAGGACTGATAAGATTGTGTTGTGTACGGTAAAAAAAACAAGGATAGTTATATTATCGTGAATCTCTTCCAAAATCGTGCATGGAGTTTAAATTCTTGTCAGTTAAAAATTCTGACCTCAAAGAGTCATAATGCATGTTTTCAAAATAGAATACTGTATATAACATAAGTACAATTTTCATTACTAGACACTAGACACCAATCAAAAGGCTGACTCAAAAGGTTTTATCTTAACGCATAAGTATAAAACTTTCTAAATATAACCAGCGGCGTAGCGTGATTATCTTCACTGGGTGAGTGCAACCGCCAGGTTTTAATGGCGAACACGTGGCATTTGAAGCCCGTCTATAAAGAAACCATATATATGTATATATATATATATATATATATATATATATATATATATATATATATATATATATATATATATATATATATATATGGTGGACTCGTTAGGGTCCCAAGGCCTAGGCACTCTTAACGAGTGAGCTGGTGAGGGAAAGGGACAAATTTACATTCTTAGGTTTGAATATGCCCGTCAAGGGTGAGTATAGTAAACACGGAGAACATTTTTATGGAGTCTTTAATTTTTCGTTGGTTTGTGCATGGTTCAGTTATAAGTATTATTTGAAATTAAAATAGATTGTTTTATGTAACTATACAAACATCATCTAATGACTTAAGCTGTAGCATGGGTAATGTAACATAAGTAATGCTAAAGCTTCATATGTTATGCGTTTTAGAAGTGCACATAATTATTTATTGGACATTACATGCAAAACTTTGAGAATCTGTTTTATCGCTTTAAAAACCGTTTATCAACAGACGAGTTAGACGACTTGTAAAGTTATCCCGACGTCACGTTTAAGCGGCCACCTTGTTAAAACTGGGGGTACAACACCACACACACACCTCACGCTACTGGATAGAAAAAAACTTTTTTAGGCAGTTGTTATGCAACATTTGTTGAGAAGTGTAGTTATTTCAAGCTGCTTCTTGGTGACTGCAATTTTATTAAAAAATACTGCAAAATACATTATCACTTATTATTACCATGCAACCCTGCTTTTAATGAATAAAATTATACACTTTTTCTTTATATTACCAATCTACGTTAAAATCTCGGTGTATCCTATAATGTTAGCTATATTACAAATGGTGTAATTTCACTGGCTGTTGTGCGAATGAACTATTATTAACGAGTGCCGAAGGGAAAAAAATAATATACTAATAGGCTTATAATTCGGAGGTATTTTATATATCCTGTAAGTGATTGAAAAATGTTTCGTGATTCAAATTGTTGAAGTATAATATAACATCCGCTTTGTCGCTGCTGTTATTATTGTCTTTTGCCACCGTGGTTTTTGATGCTGGTGTTGTTGTTGCGGTTGGCGTTATTGGTGTTTTTATTATTGGTGTTATTTGGGTGTTGCTGGTATTGGTGTGGTTGTTTTTTTGGTGTTGGTATTTTTTTGTTGTTACGGTTTTTCTGTTGCTGTTGTTGTTGTTGTTACTGGCGTTGTTTTTGTTTGTTGTGTTTACAGTTCTTGTTGTTATTTCTGTTGTTGTTATCGTTGGAGTGTTATTGTCTTGTTGTTGTTATCGTTGTTGTTATTGTTGTTGTTGTTGTTGTTGTTGTTGCTGCTGTTGTTGTTGTTGTTGTTGTTGTTGCTGCTGTTGTTGTTGTTGTTGTTGTTGCTGCTGCTGTTGTTGTTGTTGTTGTTGTTGTTGTTCGCTGTATAACTCGCGAAGGACCAACGAAAGCAAAGATAAAGACGATGACAACGATCCTGTGAACTGCTTTATTTGCGCGAGAGTATCTTCAACATTTTTATCTAAATCTGAGCGCCTTTTATCTCCTGTAAATTCTGCTTCTGTCAGACGAAAAAGGTATTTCCAGTCCTCCCTTGTCATGCTCTCGACTTCAACGCCAATTAGCATTAATGCCGTGATTCCCGCCACAGCCCGCTGGCGTAAAGTCTCGTTTCTGTCGTCTTTTTCAGGCCTGAAACTCAATCGATTTTTGTGAGTTACTTTAACGCACAAACGTATGCTCCTGTCGCGAAGTATTCCAGTGTAAATCTTGACCAGTGTTTCACAACAACTTTGATCGGCAAGAGTATTTGAGGTTCCTTCGACACTTATCGATTCGTTGCAAGGTTGTAGGGTCAAGAACATCGTTATTTTTCCATCTTTGCCGGCTTTCACTATCTCTGCCAAGCGCCCATTTTCTATGTCATCTTCAAAGAAATCCTCAGCGTGTTTTTTATCATTGTGGCAGTTGGTATACCTGGCTTCGTACAGAGTTGTACCTTGGCTGTCTTCAAACCGGACGATAGCCACTACGTCTTTCGGTTTCACAGACCAATGCTTAACTGGTTCTCCCTCTATATTTCTTCTCCGACTCTCCGACATCGCTCGTTTAGCGATAATACAGTTGTCCTTGTCAAGACAATGATACTGAATAATACGTTTTGTTGGATTATCAAACCACTTGTGAACATGATAAAATGCCGCGCAAAACTGAGCTTTTGTTCCAAGAAATGTTTTCGCGTTTTCCCGTTCCGAATTTTCACTTTCCTTATTTCCACTATCCATGTTTCCACTTTCCCTATTTTCACTTTCCTCGTTTCCACTTTCTTCAGTGTTCATTTCAATACTCCTCAATCTTTTGATATGTCCGTTTTCATGTTCACCGGGATAAATCTTGCAGCACTCATAAATGTCGTAATTCTCTTCAACGCCAGCCATTGCTGCCTTTACGGAATTCCTTCATTAAGAGAGGAATAGAATACAATATTAGTTTTAATCAGTAGCCCAAAATTACTCGACTTTTCTTGCCTAATTTGCCTAATGAGGCCATTAAAATACATAATTACACAGGAGATCTCTTCCTAGAGTTCTCGCAAACTTACAACAAACCTAATTAGACAATTCGTGTGTCGAACAGGACGTACGTATACAGGGTGAGTAAAGAAAACCTGACACCTTTGAAATTCAAATTAGCCGCGAACTTATGGCTGGATATTGACAATTCCCATTGTATACAGGGTGTCTCAAAAAAAACGCAACCAATTCCCAGAGGTGCTTATCTACTGTGCTTTAGAGCTGTATTGATGTCTTGCATATTTAAGTGGTTGCGTTTTTTTTGAGACACCCGGTACAATCAACAAGACGTGGTTAATTAATGCAAAAGTGTTTAAACCAATTGAACTAATTCAACGTTCTTTTATATTACAGAGGCTTACAATGCATTTTAACTCCCAAAGGGAACAAACTTTATGTTCAAGGTTAATTAATGGGTTCGCTTATTTGATATGCTTCGTATACCCATGAGATATTTTAGGCAACTTCTGTCACATTACAGCCGATTACAGATACTTTGCAGCTAATTTGAATTTCAGAGGTGTTAGTTTTTTTTTACTTACCCTGTAGAATGCAGCTACTATTACTCCCGAAGGGGCAAAATTTATATGTTTTAATGCAGAATACATGCATGCATATATTAGCAGTGTGTTATCGACAGTAATTATGTGCTTTGCGTGGGTGATGAAATACTTAAACTTCGTTTGTATGTTTATAACATACGACGCCTTTGAAGGTAATATCTAAACATGCAACAACGTTCAAGGGCCGGTTGTATCAAGCCCGTTTAGCTTAAACGGTGGATAAGTCAAAATTATATAACACTCTTACATCTCTCTTGAATGAGTCAACTTGAATATTATGCACTGAATATGTAGTTTTAAACAGTATACTTGTATTAACGTCAAAAACATTTAGTTCGCTTGTTGAATAAAACGGCAGACTTGCTTTCTATTTTGAACTTAACCACCGTCTAAGCTAAATGGACTTGATACAACCGTTCCCAGAACTTTCTTATATATAACATGTAAAACACGCTTCGACTTTTGTTTCAAACTTTACGGACACATAGCAACATGAAATCTATATATAAATATATCATGCTGATTTTTCGCTTTACTGATCATCGTGTTCTCGAAAAAATGATCTTTTTGGAAGTTCTTACAAGTAATTGGTTGATGGTTTTATCACTAATTTCTGATAATATTCAAAATGCTTGTTTATTTTAGATCGTAAACATGAATGTAAAATGGGTATACTGTATCCCAAGCTTGCAAGTGTATAATATATGACAATTGTGTTTTTACAATAACTTCATTTGCATGCAATCATTGAAGCCATTCATTCCGCGAATAACAACTTTTAAAACAAGCGTTCTCATCAAATTTTTATCTGAAAACAAGCTCTCTTTCGTTCTGTCGTGCTGTCGTAGCTGTTGCATTGTATTTATATCACTGCATATTTCTAGCCTAGAAAAACTGGATTATAATTTATAAAAGGTTCTTTGTTTGTGACCATTGTCAAATCCTATAACGGAACAAGCGTCTTAAATCATTCCTAAATTACTGGGTTTTCGCTGTGAGACTATCGTTCAATTTCCCGCCATTTTATGTCGTATTTTGCTGCGGGATCGCGTGTGAAAGTAAGCGTGACAAACGACACCAATTTTATGCCGTTCTCGAAATAAAACCAGGTCGTTTAAAACGATACACAAGTATATAAGCTAAACTGCGTAGAATTGGATGCGTTCTCTTACTTAACTAGATATTTTAAAGTTATAACTGCAAGATAATTTCAAGTTGATATATATAGTGAGTCTTCAATTGAACTAAAGAGAAAAGCCGTCCTTGCGAACTAAAGAGCAAAGTGCTTGAGTTTGCCTAAGTAATTTCTTTAAAGTAAACACAAAGTAGTTGAATAAACGTTTTTGTATAATGCATAACTTATTCCTCGGTGAAAATGGCGTGATTAATAGAGGTTTTGTAAAAAAGTAACGGCAATACTTACAGATATCAAGCAGCTGTATCGCAAAGTCTCATCAAATCCGACTTATATTAAGAGCTTCTTTGATTAGGCTATTTGAATGCTGTCGGTTTAAATTGTATAGTTTCAAAGAGAAAGTATCGTCATGACGTTTTTATCAAAATTTTTATTTGAGATCATTGTGGCTGCACGGCTTGACGTCTCAAAACATTCCGAAGGTCAAACAGCATGAGTTCATGTATAAAAACATTGAAGTACTTGGCTTAAATGTATGACAGAATGTCAGTTTCTAGCTGATTTAAGGCTGCTTTCCACTTACGCGTTTTTTATACGCACGTGCACGTACGGAAAATTTTAAATACTTTTAGATTTTTATTATTTAACATCTAGGTAAACTAATGCATACTAAAATACCGCATAACATAGGATGAAAAACACGAGTTACTTAATTGAATTTTATTTACTACAGAACTGTTTCGTATGACAAGCGTTAAGCTTACCACACTCATCAGGTAAATAATTATCAATTATTGGACGAGGTCGAGCAAAATATCGTGATTTGTCGGTGGCGAGCAGATAAATTATTTGCCGATGCCGAAGGCAGAGGTATATATATATATATATATATATATATATATATATATATTATATATATATATATATTATATAATATATATATAATAATAAATATATATATATATAATATAATATATTATATAATATATATATATATATATATATATATATATATACATATATATATAATTATATATATATATAATAAATAATATATATATATATATATTATATATATAATATATATATATATATATATATAATATATATATATATATATATATATATATATATATTAAAAGACTGGTATTGAGCGCTCTTCAAGGCCAGGTCGCATTGCAAACCACAGTTGAAAATCGGGCCTCAGTTTTTGTTTTAATGGAGGGTATCTACTGCCTTGGGGGAACGTTTGGACCCGCCATTGGGAGTTTCATCGCATTCGACGTCATAATTTGGGGATGGCATATCAACCAAGGAAACTCTCCCGGGATAGTACTGACTATGATTTGGACCGTATATTTGATCCTGGCTTTGATAGCGCCAAAGCACATGTGGGTGGAAACTGGGACAAGCCATTCGAAGGGTGCCCGAAATTTGAGCGATGATGATACGAAGAGTGGCCGAGATCTAGTCGAGATAGACCCAAGTTTAAGCAAGAAAGAAAAGCGCGTCGAAAGTGCCAAAGATCGTTTAATAAAAACGAGCTCTCGCCGAACCCTCGCCGGCACCGATCACGAAGGTTTGCCGAAGATTGAGTGGAACTCGCGAATTTTATGCCTACTTTCTCTGGTATTTTCGAACGAATCTCTGTCGAGTACGGCGACATTTTATGTCCCAGTTCTTGCCTTGAATCATTTTCATCTTCAATTAATCCACGTTAAATTGCTCTTCCTCAATTGTACGGCTTTCACTCTTCTTGTTTTTATTCTCTTCTCGATGGCTTCCAAACGTGTGGAAGAAAGGAAACTCTTTGTGGTTGCCTTGGCAATGCAGTTAACCGCATTAGCCTTGCTAACATCGCTTGGTTTTGCCTGGGAACACATCAGTTACTTTCAAAACTACATTCTCCTTTTGTACATATGTTTCGGTATGCCTTATTTCGCCTTTCCGTTCAGCAACGCCATTCTTTCAAAGATCACTAATCTGCGAAACGCATCTTTCTACCAAGGGGTATCTCTTGCCGCGATGCACTTAGGTATTGTGAGCAGTCGAGTTGTTATAAGTTTCATTCAAACACAGGAAGTTTTGCTAATCTACTGTTTAGCATTAATTTGCCTTTGGCTGGTCGGCTCCGTGTGGTTTTCTATACATTTCAAGCAATTTGCTGGAACAGGTCAATATGATGATAAATAGATTTCAGATTTTAAAAATGAATTTTAAAAATGGAATAAAATTTGTCACAGAAAAATTGTAGTCAGTGGCCAAGTTAAGCCAGGTTTGTTTGAAGCGATATCCGTGCCATTATAATGAACATAGGTGTAGAGTTTTGTTTTCTTCTGGGGGGGCTCAAACATTAGATACATGATATCTAGCGAGCAGCACCTTTTGACATTAGGTACAATTAAATAGGAATTTTTCTCTTGAGTCTTGATATATAGTTGCATCGGTATTCATGGTTTATATGGCCGATAGGCGGAGAAAATATTTATTAATGGTTATCACCTGTGGGTAAAAAAGTTAGTAAAAGATAAAATAAACAAGCTGTCATGCACTTTTTATTTTATAACTGTATTAGACATGTTTATTTTAAAGTTAGAAACAAGTTATAAGTGTCCCCACAGTTAATAGAACATACATGGTTTGGAGACCACATAAAACTACAATACAACTCATTTGTTCCTTTCTCATCACATGTCTGCATCTACATTGGATTTTGCACCGATAAACCAACAGCAATCTTATAAATTATGATTAACATATTTTTCAAGTCAAGGTTGATGAGCTTAGCCAGACGAATGCCATTGGTAAATTTGGCTAAACTACATCAGACACGTGACGAGAAAGGAACCATTTTGTGCATAAACCTGGACAATAACATAGTTAATAAGTTGCATTATACTTCAAACCATGTATATATTCTATTAACTGTGGTGTCCATGTCGCATGCTCTAATTAGATAACATAAAAGTGTTTTTTCGTACACTTGACTTTGAAATAAAAGTATCAACAAGTTTATCAATATCCAAACCACTCAAAATGCCCTTGTGCGCATTTATCAGTGTAACTCAGGGAACTCAAAAGAACTGGAAGGCTTCCTCCGGCCGGAGATTTGAAGCCAAATTTTGGGGTCATGCCCAGTCTTTTCACGCAACTAAACACGCGGTTTTTTGAAACTTCAAAAATAATACTCAACATGCAAGCACTGAAAACATATTTTAGAGAACATAAAATGCGTTTTGCACAGTTTTTTTTACGATAAAAGCATCCGTGAAAACTACAGAGTAAAGTATACTAAATTTATCTGTATCAAACTCGCAATTAAATTGCCGTTTCTTATGAAAAACGTTGAACGAGGAGTGAAGCCGGGACAATTCAAAGGTGTTTGTGTGAATTCACTTATTTAATTTCGTTGTTTATCAATTTAATCCCTCTGAAACGTACGAAAAAACATTCTAACAATATTTATTTAACAACAAACTACAGCTAAATTTTCTTTTTTATATGTTTTATGAGCACATAACAACAAAATACTATATATATTTTTTGTTTTGTTGTCTGCAAACCTTTTGAAGTAGTTATCGTTTTCGAACAAACTGTTTACATTTTCCTTATAATTTCACCACGCCGCGACTCGAGGTATGCTTTAATCAGCATTGATTACAAATTATAGCCTAAATCGTTAAAATAAACGATAAATCCGAACGAATGTAACTTCGCCGCAAAACAGTTCATGTTTTGCTTATGTTCACTCCCGAAAAGGCCCTCGCGAGAATGTCTCGCAACGTGTACACGCGTGTCTGGAGGTAAAACACGCGTGTCTGGAGGTAAAATTTGGCTTCAATAATTTTGGCTATTTTAATCAGCAGGTAGCCTTCCAGTTTTTCTGAGTTCAATGGTGTAACTGCATTTAATCGTTCTGATGTCATTCTGGCTCGTAGATAGGTTTTTAAACGTCTTAGTCCGGAGAATGACCTTTCCGCAGAGCAGCTTGAAACTGGAAGCGTCAATACAATTCTTACGAGAGTGCTAACCGCGCTAATAATGGCTCTGAAGGCGGGATTCTTAACCAAGAATGTAACAATGGACTGAAAATCCTCAAGAACTTCGTTGTCTGCTGAAACTTTGTCAACAAGCATGTCTCTATGTAACTGAGGCCTTGGACCATTTACATCCTCACGATAGTGCTGTACAATATAACTGGCTTCTTTTTCTTTTCCAAGTAGAAAGTCTTCAACCCGGGAAAGATGTCGGGATGTTTCATCTGGCTCAAATCTTTCAGTCAATCCTACCAAAACACTATCTAATATGATAAAGTATTTATTCTTGTAGAACTCTTGAGGTGTTGATGGCATATAAGGCTCTGCATTACCATCATCTATTCGCCTAGGTACTCTTTGCGGCCTTGGTAAATGAGGCTTTTCAATCAAGGAGAGCTAGCACATTTTGGCTGGGAAGCCAAACGTTTGAGAAATTATTTTCGTTTTTTCATTTGAGACGGTTTCTTTGATCCCCTTCATTACTTGTTCTGATTTGCTAAACGAGAGCTGTATTCCTTGCAAGTTAGTGCTTCCACCTTCTAAAACAGTGAAGACCATTCTAAGGATTTCAATCAGGAAATAGCTGTTGAAACAAGACAAAACCTTGAAAAAGCCACCAGCTTTAACACCAGAATCGTTCTTCTCTGTCGCATCTACATCTTTCAACCAATTAAGAATGGCCATGTAGCTACTGCAGATTGCTTCTACCACGAATAAAGGCAATTAAATCTCTAATCAGGCTGAGCATATCTCTCATTTCCTTGTTATTTTTCATCGCAACTTGGACTGCTAGGTTAAGTGTATGTGCACGACAATGAACGTAGGTTGCACGATTTTCCTGATGAAGAATTTTTGTTAATGGGAAACTGAAAGCGTATAAGTACAGTAGGAGGCAAAAGTTTGAGTCCACTGACTGTATTTCGTTGTTTTAGCAACATATATTAATATTCTACAGAAAACCTTACCAATAAGTGAACTACAAAAAAGTAAATGAGTAAACAGAAAATGCTGTACAACAAAATTCGAGATGTTATCATATTCATTTTACGTATGTTAATGTGCAAACATGCATTTTGTGTCAATGCTTAGCGTCCCTCTTTTTGCTCTTGAAATGACCTTTATTCTTGCTGGCATAGACTCCATAGGTTTTTTAATGTCACACGTCCAATACCTTGCCAGCATTTGTTGACCATTTGCCTCAAGTCATCCTGGCTGGTGGGTCTGTGCCTCGCCCTTTTCCGGTTAAAATGGTCCTACAAGTGCTCCATAGATTTTAGATCTGGAATTTGAGGTGGAAAGCCCAGGGCCGTAGCTAGACCGCTTAATTGGGGGGGGGGT